ACAACTTTTGTCTGAAACATTTTTTCATATCTCTTTTAGTTTTTTAAAAAATCGACTGTATAAATTAAAATGGCCCACCCTGTATATATATTGTATTGATCTGATGATATCCGGAAAATACGGAATCAATACGGAAAATAATAATTACAATACGGATTTACAACGAGGTACGGAAAAATAAACGGATCTGGATTGATTTAGGAGATTTAGATAACTTCGGATAGAATACGGTACTGAAACGGTCGGCACGGACGTTTGATACGGGATCCTTCGGTCTGTAAGGAAACAATGGAAACGGGATTAACACTACGGCACTTATGGCTAGAATTAGCTTAATTAGCGTTAATTAATTCTTTCCCACCCAAATATTCCCCCCTGAATTCTACACCGATCGGAGGTCAGGAATAAAGGATAGGATCAGGTCGGGGACACGCCCGAGAGGCTGCCTCGTTATGCGTGTTTTATCAGTAGCACATGTACACCGGGCAGCACCCCGTTTCTGTGTACGCTACTGCGGACGGATAGACGACCGGTACGGGATCAGTAGCTGTCGCACATCGGGCAGCACCCCGTTCTTGTGCACTACTGTGGGGGAGGGGACCGGGGTACACGACGGAGCAGCGCCTCCACCTGTCGTGCGCTCCGGTATGGTATAGCGCCGGACGGCAGTACCCGTTACACCGGCGTATACCGCAGCGGAGGTACCCGCTGCCGGGTGTCGTCGCTCGGTGCTCCGAGGTAAGACTGGGTGTTCGTGCTCGCTCCGGAGGGGCTTTTATACCCCTGGAGCCTGGGCGCGCGGGTGGAGGTGGCGGGGGTAGGCGCGGCGTTGCCACCTCCGCGTTGTCATAGCGACCGCGGCTCCGGTATGCGTGGAATGCGAGGAATGCGGCCACTTCCGGCCGCGCCTTCCACGTCACACCGGAATGCGAGGAATGGGGCCACCTCCGGCCGCGTCCTCCCGGCCACCCCCGTTACAACCAGGTCGGTGACATGGTGAGCTGCAGGAATTATAATGGGGTGTTTAACTCCTTCCTCCACCGTTGCATGTTTCAACCTTCCTCCTACCCGCAGGATCCCTTGCTCGTCCAAGAAAGGATGCAGCTGCCTCAATCTGGAATTACGTGGTATTTTGCCTCCACTCTTTAACGTCTTTATCTCTTCTCTGAATTCTTCCTCTTGCACGTTCCTTACTATTACACCTTTAGCGCCTTCCATCTCCTGAACCGATATTTGTTCGCCCTTCCTCACCCTTACACTAGGCCTTATAACATTTATAAATCTTAAAACATACGCTATCACTCGGTATAACTTGTGTAACGAAGAATATCACTTATATTTTATCATTGGCTCGCTTATCACAGTTTTAGTTACCACAATATTAATTTATTAATTATTACAACAAGGACCAAAAACTTGGTTTCCTCCGTTAGGAGGAATGGGATCAGGGGGAGGGAAGGGAAAAGGGAAATTCTAAAAATCGCATATAGACAGGTTATTGTGCGGTCGACAATCCGTATCGACGCACAGTTTCTGGAAAGTCGAAATAGATGCATAAACAACACCTTAAAGTTATATACACGTTATTGCGAATAGTATTATCACAGCCCCGGTGGTCGAGCTGGCTAAGATGCCCGTCACGGATTGTAGGGAGGTCCCAGGTTCGAATCCTGGCTGGGGTAATATTTTTCGCAATAATAATTTTAATAGCTTGATACGGTCAACAAAAATCGCTATAGCCAGTGTAGGTCGATAAAACTTATGAAATTTTGGTTTAGTTACCACGGTAAGTTTGCACTGTTCAGGTACGCTTTCGCCTAGCAATTCGTCGCCCTCTTCCGGCCATACCCTTTCGTTTTTACTTAACCAATGAGGACCATTCCACCAAAGGTTCGATCCCTTTAACAGCTCCGGTGTGACTCCTCTCGAGATTAAATCTGCTGGATTCTCCTTTGAGGGCACGTGATGCCATTCAGAAGGGGACGAATTGCTGTGTATCTCATTTACCCGGTTCGCCACGAACGCTTGCCACTTTCGCGATGGAGAGCTCAACCAAGCCAATACTATCTTTGAATCCGTCCAATAGTACCTTCGGTCTATCGCCAAGTTCAAATCATCTATTACTTGTTTCATTAGTTTTGTTAAAAGCCCAGTGCCGCACAGCTCCAACCTTGGCAACGATATCGCCTTTAATGGGGCTACGCGGGACTTCGAGCAAATTAACCTGACCTCCCTTTTATCCTGATTATTTATTTCGACCAAATACAAGCACGCCCCATACGCCTTCTCGCTTGCGTCACAGAACCCATGTATCTGGACCTTAGATTTAAGACTTGACCTTAACAACCTGGGTATTTCTAACGTATCTAGAATCTTTAACTGAGACCTTAATTGATGCCATGCTTTGTAAATCTCCATTGGGACCGACTCGTCCCAATGTACCCTCCGGGCCCACAAATTTTGAACAAGAATCTTTGCCATCGTTATGACTGGCCCAACCAATCCAAGTGGATCGAATAGTTTGCAAACTTGGGATAACATGGCTCTTTTAGTTACACGATCTTTCGACCAACACGCGTTGGTTTTATAACTGAATGTGTCATTGCTAGGATTCCATCGAATTCCCCCTCGTCCGAACCTAAGGGGCTATGGCTTGCTACAGGCCAACGTGAACCACTCTCCACATGCACAGGATCTGCTCCAACAGAGCATGATGGAGAGGGGGTTCACGTTGGCGATAATCTCCGAACCTCACCGCGCCCGAGAAGACAGCCCATACTGGGCGGTCGGGCGGGTGAGGGAGTCGGTCGCGATTCGGTGGCGGTCGGAGCCGGGAGGTCCCGACACGACCGTCATCGAGCGAGGGGACCGGCACGTTGCTGTGCAGTGGGGGCGCATCGCGGTCGTGGGGACTTATTTGAGGCCCACCAGACGCCTCGCCCCGTTTGAGGACTGGCTTTCGGACATTGGGCAGACGCTCATACGCCTGATGGCTCCTGCCCACTAGACGCGGCAGCGCTTGCCGCGCGGCGGAAGTTTGCGCAGCAAGAAAACATGATTATTTGGGATTCACACAGCACGCGGTAAAGATTGGACGCGCATGCGCAGATGGTATATATGAGATGTGTTTCTAACCATACTATTTCACGTATAACGCGTTAACAAACTATAGAGTTTTATAAAGTGTATAACGTACAGCGATTGAATAAACTTTACAAAACAATTTAAAACAAAGTTTATGAATATGAGTGAAACAATTAGGCGTAGAGCACTATATTGGGAGGTGCGTGGATCGACACCCGCTTTCTTAGTCCGTGATTTGTCAGTGAACAGATTATATTTGCACAGACGTTAGAGTCCTGAAAAGGACCGGTACAAACACGAAGTGACAGAGTTCTGATCGAGATGGATATAGATATAAAAGTAGTAATAATGCGTGCTTCGTGGTTTGGTACAAACTTATAACTTGAACTAAAAAGATTGGTAGATTGGAAGGTGGCGCGGCTGTAAGCCGCGAGTGCAGCTAGAGCACGCCGGGGGAGTAGGTGGCTTGCCAGGGATGAGCGGGAAAATTGTAATCTCCAACACTCTCCCTCAAGTTTAACGCTCTTTCCGACGAGGGTCGGCGAGTCCCAGTCCACGAGTGCAAAGTTCATGCTTCCCCGCGCTGAGTCCCTTGGTGAGTACATCCGCCAGCATGCGTTCAGTGGGTGTGTATTCCAGTTTTATTGGCTCCTTGTCGAGTACCTCCCTGATGAAATGGTGGCGTATGTCTATATGCTTAGACCTTCCGTGATAGACAGGATTGCGTGCAAGCTCTCCTGCCCCTTGGTTGTCGTTGAAGAGGGTGACGTTTGCCAGTGCTTCGAATCCTAACTCCTTCAGAAAACGTATAAGATAGACTGCTTCCTTTGCGGCGTCTGTCAGTCCCATGTACTCCGCTTCGGTTGATGATAGCGCGACCGTTTTCTGCTTACGGGATTCCCAGGAGATGGCCGCTCCTGCGAGAATGAACGCGATCCCTGTGTAGGATCGCCTGTTGATTGGGCAGCTGCCCCAGTCTGCGTCCGCGTAACCGATCAGGCTCTTCTCGGTGCGTCGGAAATGCAGAGCGAGATCGATGGATTGCTTCAAATACCTCAGCACGTGCTTCGCCTCGGTCCAAACTTTCCTGTTGGGCCGATGGTTGAATTGGCTCAGCATGCTTACAGCGTGAGCTATATCG